TTCCACCAGTTCACAAGAATTGTAAATCCTGTTCTTTGATCGAAAATCAAATGTCACTTTCTTCCCAGCATGTTACACAGTCCCTTCAGCATTTCAATCACAGGAATCCTTCAACTATATTTCAGTAAAAACAGTTATGTCAAGTATCATCCTGCTAATAATAATTTCCAATTTCTCTCTGTTATTACTACGTCTTCTCACTGTGTGTATGCACAGTTAACATTTTTGCTCTTTATAGATTCTTTGTATTTGCTCATCACAGAGTACTAATTCATGAATTTCAGGCCTAAGTATCTGTACCAGTATGACGCCCTTGACTTTTTCTTCACCTGCAAGTTAAATATCTTCAGAGCATGGACAGGTTCAGGAAACTCAGAAAACTGATTTTTTCCTTATGACCAAGAAAGACATTGCATCTGCTGTAAGTCCTCTCCCACTGTGGGAGATGCTCTGATGCTACATGAAACGTGTCATGCTGCCCATCAGGCCAGTGACTCACTTCCTGCATCTTCCTTCTTCTTACTTTTGGAGTTAGGAGAAGTCACAGAGAAGGTCCTGGCCCTGTTTTTGTCTTCAACCCCCTTTGGAAATCCTGGAAGCCTCTGAAAGTCTGTCATCTACAGCCACGTCATTCCTGTCAGTGCTGACTAGGACTGGTCTAAACAGGCTTTGTCTATTCATATAAATGTCAGTGAGTAATGGATTGAAGAAAAGATTGAAAACTGTTGATCTGGGCATAGTAATTTCAGTACTGCATATACATACATAATTATTTTCCTTGGTAAATGGGAAGTGAAACAATACTGCGATTCTCTAATTCAAACCCAGATATTACTGTTTCAGTCAACTGCTAGCACCCCAACAGAATGAGAGGAGCTCTGCTGTCCCCCTCTTCCCTCCTTCCTGAGGACCGTCCCACCTACCTCAACTAACTTGCTAGCATAGTCAAGCTGTCTTTGTTATGAGCCTATACGGCATCCTGAAACATTGACAAAAAAACTCAGTCTCAAGTGTATATATACAGCTGCATGATCCTAACCCTATAGTCTCTCTAGATATCTTGATTGATATGTCTTTATATCAGGGTATAAGCACAAAGCTCAACTTCAAATTAATCTCCATATCTAAAGGCTTTAAGAGATCTAAATGAAATGAAACCATCAGCTTTTGCATTACCAGACCAGCAGTATCACTGTGTAACTGCCTGTTTTCATACATAGGGAATAGGAGCACAGACCCATCACTCCTGGTGTTACCAACCAACATGGATTTCCCCTTCCAGTAAATCTTATCACTTCCTATAACTAAAATTGAACACAGTTTTGAGTCTTTGCTTCAGCAGAGCTAGCAAGAAATGTTGTTTCCAATTCATGTTGACCGATGCGAATACAGTAATGACTGTTGTTTCCGGGTGTTTGTGCAAGCAAGCTCTAACAATCCTCCATTATAAAGGTTTTGTCAAGACTTCACATACAGAGATTTTAGTCATTTATTTTTTAGAAGGAAGGTTCACATACTGCCTTCTGCTGAAGTGAAAAGCCAGTAAGTTCTAGTTCACATCAAAGAATCACAATGTTTAAACGAAAGGAGAACAGTAGAAGAACAAAAGAAAAAAAATACCTATGAATTCAAAGAAATATGGTAAAGAATCAGGCACTAGACTGCAATCTGGATTGAAATTATTTTTTTCATAAAGGAATACAAAGACTAAGAAATAATAATTTTTAAAATGAATTCTTTTATTAAAAAAACAAAACAAAACAAAAACCAGCAAGTTCAATCAGTACTTACAACCCTAAATTTTCATTTCAGGGATAATACCATCAGGTAATTTATTAAAGACTCCTTGCATATTACTACTCCCCTCACAAGGTGTATTCAACACAGGAGATGGAAAACTTGGGAAAACATTTTGCACAGTTTAGTGAAATACTTCTGGCTTAATCTTCTGTGCCAAGTATGCTTCATATCTAGAGACATCCAAGGAACGTCAGACAAGGGGAAGGGAAGGAACCTGGGAGAATACAGAATCATGCTGATCCAGTATAATGCCTAAAAAAAGGGTAGTAAACACAGGATGGGTTGTATTTTTAGGCAGGCAACCAGGAAAAAATAAATCCATTTGAAAGACAGATTTCTTCATCTCTATACTAGAATTTTATATGACGTACTGTGCACTGGGATGATGCCTTCATAGGACAATTTGTTCAGTTTATCTCTCTGTATTTAAAAAAATGTCCTTTCTTTTTTTGAACAGAGTGATGGTACAAAATGGAAGAAGGACCCTTGACATTTCCCAGTTTGTGCTGCCAGTATCCCATTATTTTAATGTAAGGTTATCAATAAACTTGAGTTGCAAGTTTTGGCTTTATGCATGCTTCACATGGTTAGCTGCAAAGGGGAAAAGAACCACATGGCTCTAAGTATGAAAGGAAGATGAATACTAAGAAAGGGGTGACCTACTGGCTCTTGATTTGGACCATGTGGAAAGTGTTCCTCTCTCTTTTTCAAAGAGAGCCCTAGGAGGCCAGAACGAGATGAAGTATTGATTTGTGACTGAAGTCCTCCAATTTTTTCATTTCTGTGAGGCATCCAGCCCCTTCTCTGCTCAGGAGAAGGCTAAAGTCCAGTCCATTCCTCAGCAGGTAGCCCTGACCTCCCGCAAAGGAAGTCTGAAGATGCGCATTGTGACTCACATGCTTGATAGAGTCCTTCAGCCTCAAAATCTGAAGCCAAACATTATACAATTCCAGTGAGTTGAGAAATGATAACAAGGAGGAAAGAGGGTAAGTAGATAGACTAAAAGACCAATGTAAGGGGAGCAAGCTGGTGACGTTGCTATGCTCAGTGTCTGTTATTGAACTCAGCATAAGTATGTTTGCCTAACAAATATGCAACCCAAGCTAGCAGGTTCACAGATATATGAGAAAACAGATCAGCTACATGTCACCAGAAGACCAAAACATCAATACTTCCCTCTAAAACAAGTGCAGAATGGGAAGACGTATGGAAACTAATTTCCAATTACTAAGTTCCATTTCCATATCACCACCTGATGATGGAATCTTGGAACTAAAATACGAAACTCATTGACCATGGAGGTCAATGAGACTTTTGTCTACAACTGTTAATAGCTGGGCTCTCATTAACTTACTAATGTAATTCAATCAACAGTCAAAAAAGCAAATCAGAATTTAATAGAAAATCCTTGCTGTGTTGCTAGAGCTATCACAGTTCTCTCATGCAGCCACCCAGTTTTGATTTGTGACTCCACAAAGTGCACACCACTGCTGCTAACAGGTGTACAGAAGCATTACTGAGTTCAGGAAAGGAAACCTGAGAGACCATAAAATAAAGCTGTCTTCTCCCAGGTGCTACAGGGATCAGAGCCTAAGAGATCAGAGCAATGATTAAAACCACTGACCATGAGAAGAAAAAAAAAAAAAAAAAAAGTTGTAAACACAGTTCCCACTCTACTGAATCACAAAATATTTTATTAATTCTAACATCATTTTCATCAGTCCATCCCACAGAGACAAAACTGTAAAGGTGCTCACAAAAACATTATATCTACATGGGTTTAGAAAGACCTTTGAAGAACCTACATATGCATCTCATACAGGCAGAAACCCAGTCCCACACCCCAATCATATAAATAGGTATGCCAAAATGGCATGGGTTTATGAGAATTCAAAGAAAAGGCTGTACATTTTTAATAGAAAACATGAACAAAGGCAAATAACAAAACACATCCAAAAGTAATCGAAACAGATGCCAAGACTTCTGAGGGGAAAAAGGTTGAAATTTTCATGCTTCTACACATAAACATACCTCCAGCTGATACAGAAAGAAACTTTCCTTATGAGCTGAAACCCTTTTAATCAACATTGTAACGATGATGTTCAATGACAAAATATATTGCTGTACACACTGCTTGTCTGATTGGGTAAGACAGGTGCCACACCATGGCAGAAAACATCTTGTACCGGTGCAGATTAAACCCATGTTTTCAATAGGGCTGTATGTGTTCACATGGCCAACCTCTCAGAAAAGGAGTCCCCAGACAAAATGCAAGTTATACCTGAAAGACAATCCTTTCTGTGTTAATATCAGCTGTGTATCATATCAATTAGTTGCAAAAACATTTTTGTTCATACAATCATTTTTACATGAACCATTTAAACTTTTACAATTTAAAGAAAGATATAGTTTGTTAGATTCACTTTCTCTAACTTTAATTTTGAAATTTGTCAAAAGAATTATTGCTAGGTCTGATCTTGCGAGTTTATGAATGTTGAAAATCCACGTCATGTTAAAGTAAGTTGTGCAGTCTGGGACACAGCCACATAGCTAGATCCATGTGAACCTAAATAACTTTTCCCAGAGCATCACCTTTAAATATTGTTGTCTTATTTGAGAAAATCCCCATTTTACTCCAAAACCAGACTTAAGCATGATTAGAAACTTGACAAGTGCCATGAGCATCTAAAACTGTCACAACATTTAATGTATAGTATTGTCAAGCATGTGCAATCTGTATGCATCTAGATTGTTATTTGTGCAAAAACATGCAGACCTACTCTGCCTTCATGTGCAAATCCACACAGTGAGGGTTTTGTGGTAGTCACTTAGGGCAGAATCTGGCCTACGCTTACTTTCTTGGTATTTAAAAGATAAGAAGAATTATTAACTAATATCTGTTAAAAGGCCCACCTGCAGAATGTTTTAGTAGAAAAATAAACATTTTAAGTTATTGGCAGATAACATTAGTGCAATTATTTTGACTGCCTTACTTTCACACAGTAGATTTAAAAAAATGTATTGTCACTTGTGAAAAGAAACTAAGACACTTCAGGAGCAGTTACGTAGCTGCCAAAGAGATAAAAGGAGCAGATTCCATAGCATGATATAACCAGTGGACCTACTTTACGTAGCTCTCAATGCTTAGTGCCTTTTAATGCTCCAGAAAATGAAATCCAAGGCTTGTAAACTAATTACAGTTCTTTCCATACAAAAATATATTCACTTATGTGATTTTCAAAAGGCTAACTGCTGACTAGAAAGAGCACAATTTCATATTCAGCTATATCCTAGATGACATCTCAATCAACTTCTTTCTTTGAAGAACCATTTTTGGTAGTCTGAGTTGGTACACGGTCGTAACAATGGTGCTGGGTTACCATTGTAAGCGTTTGACTCTGCTTGTATGCACTTCTGAGTTTGTAGATGAAACAAGGTACCATCCTACAAAAGACAAAACAATTTTTGCTTTTCAGGTCCTAAAAATCACAGTGAAATGCCTGTATTTTAAAAGTAACAGAAAACATTCAGAACAAATAAATACCATACATATCCTTCTCATGGGTCCATGCAATGAAGTCAAAATGACTAATTTGAGGATCTCTGAAACATTATCAAAAGACCCTACTTTTAAACTTACATTAGCGTTGCTTTAGAGTGATCAGTGTCTTAACATCTAAGCCTGTAAAGGATGTGCTAACTTTATTCACTTTCATTGCCTTTTGTTACTGCACCAGAATATGGTCAGAGATCAAAACCAAGTACAGGTATTACCCAAATTCATCAACTTATTGCACATCCTGCAAGTAAAATGTAACTATTGTTAGGCAAGTGTAGATGTTGGATATATTTTTAGGAAAAAAAAAAAAATTCCCCTTTCTTCACAGGGGTGTATTTTTAGTGGAAAAGGCAAAAATATCTAAGCGTGCCCCCCCTTGCCTACAGATATGTGAGGAGTTAGTTTGCCTTGCCGGATGGCAGCACAGCTGCCTGAGAGGTGTAAGGTCTGAGAGGCCCCCACATTCAGACTCCCTAAAGAATACATTTTGAGGCCTCAGGCCCTCCTATTATGGGAGTCGCCAAGAACATTTCATATCCAGTTCACAACACTTGCTCCAATCCAGAAACACTGTCAACTAGGATAGCAAGCTGCAAAAAGGCAGCATAGCCAGCTGTGGAGAACTGCCCTTCTCTGAGACCATTCCTTTGGCCCAGGTGACACACCAACATGTAACCATTTCCAAAGCCTCTGGCAGCTTCCAAAGAAAGATGCCCTGTTTCCAAGCACAACCCTGACTCCTTTGAAAGTCTGCTCCTTCCATTATCAGGAGTGTCGCACCAATTGTGCCTTGAACCGCAGCCCCTGATGCCCAGCAGTGTGTGCTTGCTTATGGGCTTGCTGACAGACTTAGCTGCTGAATGACTTTCCCATTTCTGTCATGATAATTCAATTTTTTGAACGGACTAATCAGTATCGTATCTGCCTCACTCGTTTTTGACTCGGTGCCCATAAGAACTTAATTCTTGCCAGGCTGCTGGGAAGGCTATTCAAATCTTTTGATTATGCTACATCTATAAGGACAGCTTTTCCAGTGTCTGACACTTCTCCACACAAAGCAAGAGAAATGTGGTACTGACATCTCACCCATCACTTGCCTTGAAAGGTGGGGACTAGTGATTCTGATTTAATGCAAAAAGAACAGGAGGAATCAGAGCAGAGCAGTACGTTCAAATCACAGAGACACAAATTCATTACGAGAAAGAAAGAGGATTTATTAAAATAATTCCTAAAGTTTCAGATAAAAATTAATGGTTAGGAATGCAGTGGAAACACATGTTACAAAACTATGCTTTCTCAGTTATTTCCTGAAGTAACTGATGGTCGCTCAGTATATGTCATCTTAGGGATTAATGCATATGACCTTGAAAAATTTAGTTAAAAGTCAGTATTAAAAATGAAATGTCATTTATAGTCAGTCTTTTAAATATTTTGTTTTACTCAGTAATATCACTGTGAACTTTAGTCTGGACTAGATTTAATGAATGGACAAGAGTTCTCACGTTCTTCTGTAGAATTTACTCTGCCACCTATCACTGGTGATAGTATCTAAGCATGAAATTTGTCAACCATGGAGCCTGTAAAAGTTTAGATGCATTATGCCGACACATTATGTAAATATAGCATTTTCATATATTATGTGACTTTTTCCCTTAACCAAATAATAATACTCCAGAACCTGACCAAGGCCATCATTTTTCATCCAATTTATTTTCTCTCAGGCATCCAGGAACTCCTTCAGAGATCAAAAACTACTGAACACAAGGTTTTCTAAGATCACATGTTATGTTTATTAAATATACTCCATACTTCTCACCCTTTGGGGTGTAGGCATTAAGGCTGAAGAAGAGAGGCACAGATCTGCTGAGACTCCACAGCCAGTAAGATGTGTCCTGTATAGGGGCAGGAGTAGGGTGGAAGGTGCACCATTTTTTGATGGTGCATCAAATTACACAACATTACTTGACATTACAGTGTCAGGTAATGGTGGTATGTGAAGTATCAAGGATATATGGTGGTATGAATACAGGGAAATAAAAGTCAATGAAAGGAGAGCAGAAGTAGGCCAGCCATGAGACTGGCTGGGGAAGGGTTATATGGAGGCACCTCAGTTCTCAGGAGAAGACAGTAAGGGTGAGATGTGAGAGAGAACTGAGCAGCTTGCAAAAAGTGCTAGATGTGGACAGGGCAAAAAGAGACCTCTGCCAACCTTCCCAACCCCTCTGAGGTTAAGAAGGGCACTTTCCTTCATCTCATCTTCCTGTTCTTTATGACTGGCGTAGTCTTCACGTATGCACTGCTTCTACCTGGTTCTATGTTCAGATATTAAAACCCAAGATATTTCTCCCAGATATCTATGCAGGTGCCTGCATGCTGTGCAGGCAGTAAGATAACAAAAAAACTCAATTCTTCCACCCACTCTCAAAAATAACCAAACCCAAAACCAAGCAGACGCACATACCTCTCTAAAAACGAACTTCTGGTTTTCAGGAATACTGTGGACGTTTTCTTCACACAAGTACATTGTCAAGTAGTCGGTCCCCGAATCGACTGCTGCACAGACTTCTGGCTGTCGGGTGTTGTAACGTATTTCATTATGGGATGTGTACTCAAAAAACTACAAACCCAAGAGAAGAAACAAAGGACAACAGTCATTTCATATGTATACAAAGTATTTATAAAGGAGAATATACTAAGATACTATAATTAAATTCACATATTAAAGTTGCTGTCATGGAGAGAAATTCTGCCAAAAATATTCAAGGAGCTTTAATTTCTGCTGTTTACTTACTATTTTACAAAAATCATTCTCTCCACAACACTGCTTTACACTGGTAGCACTTAAAAATGTATGAAATGCTGAATAAATGTCCTGGAAAACAGACATTCCAGCATTAAATAACTTACAAAATTCGACTGTAATATTCTACTTTCACATTCTAGATAATCCTTAAAAATAGGATGGAAAACAGTTTATAGCCTGACATTATGCCTTCTTAATTCAGTTGTCACAAAACAATGTTACTTTTAATTAAGGAGTTGCTCACCGCATAGTTCAAATGCAGTTTGGTCAAGGTTCATTTCCAGTTACAAAGTACTCAGGATGCATGGTGATTAGCATTTTATTATATAACATTTTAAGATACTATTTGAAGCAGATCAGCTACAGCTGCTTTTAAACACAAAAGAGCTTTATTAAAAAGAATTTACTGGCTTTGTTTGTTGTACAATACTCTACAGAGGTGTTCTGAACCTGCTCTAAAATGTCTTGGCTTCTGTAGCAATTATGGTAGAAGACTTCCTTAACATTTTTGTATTTATCAAGGACATTTGCCAAATTTTGGACCTCATTAAAGAGTAGCAGAGTTTGAGAGTTGTTTGTGTTTAGCACACCTGTAAATAATTTAAATGACTACAGTGCATGGATATGTGTTTAGATCTGATTTAGGTTCTACTCAGTAGAGGAGAATTTTATACATGTCAAAAATTGCTTGTTACCAATAGTATAGCTGAATTAGTGGAAACCAATCAAAGGATGAGTGAGAGAAGGAATCCTCTTATTTTGTTTCACCCCTGGAGAAAGACACTGTAAGGCCACGTGAAGCAGACTGTACCAACTCAGAAATATTGTGTATACTTGAACTTACCACAAAGCCATCCTTAACAATCACCAAGGCTAATTATCCTTGAAACAGAAACTGCAAATGAGGTTTTAATGTAAACAAGAGCATGTGATTACAAAGTCTGCAGTCATCCATTTCCAGGTGTAAGAGCTCTGATCTAGATTACACTGATGGTAGTTGTTTCACAAGATTTGTCCCTGTTTTTATCACAATCAGGAATTTCTCTGCTGAGGTGGCTATCACAGCCAAACACAGACCAGTGCTGCCCACTGCATCAGCCTGTAGAGCTTCATGGCTTTTTTTTTTTCCTGTCAGTGGTGCAAGCGACTGACGCCCCCACAATTGATCTGTTTGACACCATTCATTTATGGCAAGCTGCGAAGGGAAGTGAGTGTTTCAAGAAAGCTACTTCAAGTCTACTTGTCGACCTAACACCCAGGAGACCCCAATTTCCCCTTTAAACATAGTGCTAAGATCTGTTCCTGTGAGGTAGGCTGCACTATCTTTACAACATTTGCTTTATGCCAGAAATATAATCAACAAAAGTCAATTGTGATAAAGTTGGCCCTTTATTATTATTATTATTATTATTATTACTATTACTATTATTTTTTACCCTAATAGGCAGGGGCTATTCCCTGGGTCTTCAGGCTTTAGTTCCCAGGTTCGGTATCTGATTGGCATGTGGAAAGCCTGCTACTTTGTGCACCACAGTGAGCTACAAGGGCACACATTTTAAGCCTACAACTCGTGAATAAAGAAAATGCTTCACTCCTGCTCATTTGTGTCTGGATGGATAGATTTTTACAGCTGCCACTCTTACAAGGCCACGTTTAGAGCCTTACTCATTAGTGGATTTATTAGATATAATAACTCTTTTCAGCAATTTATATTCAGTATCAGTGAAAGCCTGCAAGCTGCTGATTGTATGAGATGCATCAAGAGTAGATGGAGCAGCTACTAGGTCAGAGCACTCCTTACTACTGATGTCCTTCTGGAACAGCCTCTCAAGGACTTGCACCAGATTTTGGAAGAGAAGAGCAAGTAAAATGCTTAATTTCCAGATAACATTAAGGACTGCAGTTACAGTATTAGCCACCAATCCCTCCTGCCTCCTTGCCCAATGAACATTATACATTTCTTTACCCTATACTGCTTTAAATGGAATAAATACTTCAGGCTTTGGGCTTTTTCAAGCTCTGGTAATACATGATATAAATCTCTTCCTCCTCAAAAAGTGAACAGTGCTCTTTCCTTGCCCAGTGGCTTATGTGGACAGAAAGGAAGCATTTTCAAACTGATCCATGGACTAGAAACTAGTAGCCTTACTGCATTTCTGTTCTTCAAAGAACCAGTAGATTCCCCTAAGTGCTACTGGGAAACTTGATAAGGCCTTTTATCCAGTGCCTACCGTTTCTGAGCAATCCACAGGATATATCCCGGCTGCATCAGTGCTCTGTGGAATGAGAGATCTCACCAGACCCTAAAAACCACCGTCATCCCTCTCTGTGCCTGGCCACTGCTCTTCTGCATGCAGGAAGAAGTTTGCACTTGATGGGTAGAACCAGCAGAGAGGTTATACCAAGTCTGATACCCCTTTCACAGAAAACCCAATGGTTTTGCTAAGCTTTTGTCTCTCCCTATTTGCCTCAAATCTATCATTTGCAAATGGAAATATTGGAGGGTACTGCAGACAAAACAGGCTGCTTAGTGTCTTCTCATCCTCTTACCATCCCAGGTTAGCTTCCTGCCATCACACATTGGTGCCCTCTATACCACTTTCCAACCATACCATACCAAGAAGGGCAATGGGCTTTATGGGTGTTGAATTTCAAAGTTGAATTTCAAAATTAAAATTCTCATCTACTGGGGCAGACACTTCCATAAAACATCAGCAGCCTGAGGTGCAAGCACCAACTAGTCAATGTTTTGCATATTTTCTGCCTCTCTTCCATACACACTCAGCTCCTATCACAGTCATATCCTCACCTTCTTGGTATAATGGAACATACTAGTTTTAAACAATCCACAGTTAGCTTTCTTACGGCTGACACAAAAGCAACTCAAAAGGACTAAAGGGTACCCTCTCACTTCGGCCATGGATTCAAGGAAAAATAGCAGCCAATTATCAGGGACCTTAGTTTTCTGAGAGTGGTTTTACTTACTGAGACATAAAATGGGAGCAGGTGCTGGCCTTTATAAATAATTGAGAGCATGGAGCTCTCTCCTCTTGACACAGTGAACACAGAGGTCACTCTTAAGTGGAGAATTGCTTCCAGTGAAAAGAACTCTTGCAGTTGTCCCCTACATAAGCAGCCACCTGCCACTAGCATACCATGCCAAAGGATGGATGTACTGGTGTGTAAGACCAGTGGCTGACCAAGTTAACCTTCATTAATGTTAAATCCTATCCTGATGTTTCTGGAGAATAATTTTACTGAGCTGTACTCTTGAGGATAAACTTTATTCCTTGATACCATGAGACAGTGTGAACGTGCAGCAGGAAGTAATACTATTTGAGGAAGAAAGTGATGAATGCTGGAACAAAACTCTGCAACAGGAGGAAGGGATGAGACAACTAGAGGATTAAAAATGGGAGCTAGCCAGGAAAGAAGAAAGGCATGTGAAAAGGTGCAAAACATAACCTAGTCTAGGTAGTAACTGGTGAGGGGAGAGACAGAGCAAGGGAATTAGAGAAAGACTGGGAGCCAGCCAGCATGGAAAAGAAAGTGTTAAATAGCATAGAGTAGAGAAGCTGGAGTTCTCTGTGACATATGGTGCAGGACAGGAACAGGAGTGAAGCTTTGTAATGAGGGTTTGCTGCTAAAGCTGTAGAGCTTGCGATTAGGGTGGCAAATTCCCTCCCAAGGGCAAAACAGAAGTTAAAGGCTGCCTGTTGTCAGCAAACATCTGTGAAACTGTGTGCTGACATGCCTTGCTCTCCTTGGCGTTGATTGAACTAGAGGATGACCAACCTTGTCACCATCAGTTCCATCAGCTGCCAGTAGGGGATGTACATGTGGGAGATTGGACTGTTTCAGTCCTGCCATTGTCACCTGCCAACTGAGCTAAGGAATTCACACCACCAGCCTGTTACCTTTTAAGAACGACTGTCAAAAGGGACAGGAGACGGAAAGGAAATGGAGACAAATATCTTGCTGGTAGATTTTACAGCTATTTGTGAGGCAGAAGAAGGAGGTGCAAATTCAGCAATCCTGATGTCCATTTCCCATCTCACTTGTACTTCTATGTCTTGTCTTATTTCAGCTTCTCTCTGTTCCCCCACCCACAGCTCTTCCTGCTGTCCACCCCTCGTGCAACTACTTACCTGTCACCCCTACTCATGCCTCCCTTTGCTAACTGGTATCTCTGCTCCCACATTCAGTCCCCCTGCCCCTTTCTACTAAAGGGGTCTCCAGTGATTCTGCTTGTTTCATGCTCCCTCTCTGTAGCTCCTAACTACTACTTCCTCTGTCACGCATTCCCTGCTCCTCGTCCGTTGCCCTACCTCTGTCCCAAACTACTTCTGCCCTCTGTCACTTTGGCCCTCTTTCACTTGCTCCCATGTCAGCCCTCCCATGCCTTGTGCCCATATCACTAATACTGTTTTGCCCACTTCCTGTGTTGGACCTTCCCTCCTCAGGCTCTGTAATTCTCTTGTGTCATCTCATATTTTCTTGCAGTCTGGTAGTTTCTCCATTTCTCCTTCCTCCTGCTGCCTGGATGTCAGCAGAGGGAGCACTAATTGCACAGCTCCAACAGCATCACAGCTCTCAGTTGAGTGCCTGCTATTGCAGGTACGCTGATGCATCGCACCATCAACAGAGACGTAACAGTATTAATATCCAGTGATGTCGTATCTTTGCAGTAAATTCAGTTAATCTTTTAGTGCTAGCTAAACAAAGAATAACTGTAAAAATGTCATCTCATGAGAATTCATCTCTGAATTGTACTTTTCTTCTGCTTTCACCTTTTATTCTATGTCTTTCTTTTTTCTTGGTGGAAAGGACAAAATTTAAATAAACTTTTTTTTGCTCAGAGCAATACATAAAGATTCAAGCCCTCTCCTCTTTGCAATCTGTAATACAAGGGGAAAAAAAAATATCTATAAATACCTTTTGCATGTGAGCATGTAATCCCATACATGAAATACTTAATCTACAAAAACAATCAACTCTTCCTCATAAGAAAGTGGCTTAACTAGGTTATGTGATTACAAACTTATCATCTATATAGGTGTATAGAAGTATGCTTAATTTGGGCGTGGAGATGAACTGAGGAGATAAAATGGGTTGGTGTGGTATGGCTTAGCATTCTTGACATACACCTGTCAGTAACAAGAACTTTGGCATTTATGACACAAGATTCTCCTCCTGCCCTCCAGGGCAGAAACATTAGGAAAGTTAAGACATAAACTAATAAATAATACTAAATAAAAGTTCTAATACTTAAGATAATAAACTTGCTATCAGAAACAAATCTACTTTCTTTTAAATTCCAAAGCACAGTGCTCAGACTGTTGTTTTCCTTTTCTCATGTAAAATGCAATTCATATTAGAAGCTTTCTCCTCAATACAGATTTAGTTTTCACTCCTCAAGCTTTTATAATATTTTTTAAAGCAGAATTCAGAAAAAGAACAGATAACACTGCTTATATGCCACATCTCTGGTTCTTTTCCAAATTTGTTTTTCCTTTCCTATTTGAATGTTTGGATTAATTTCCTTAAAAAACCTAGTCAAGCCACCCAAACTGTCACACAGTTCTGTACTTACTCTCAACAAGACGCTGCATATCTCTTCACCCCTCCCAACTAGGAGCATGCCATATAGTCTAATCTGGGTTAGAAGCCAAAAATCAAGCTAGATAGACAAGTACATGTTATGTCAAACATCAAACACCAAACCTCAATTCTAGAAGGTGGCCACTCAAACCCATGCAGAATAGCCATTATATATTGGCACATGGTGCCCCAAACACCTTTACCACAGCATTATGCAGACAGCTTTATGGGTATCATAACTAAACACTGCTGCACATAGTTTCAATCAACGTGGAGAAAGATACCAGCAAGCATTTTCAGCTTCAGAAGTTAAAAACAAGAGAACAAGTGTTAGATGGGATCCCTGCTCTCCAGGATAGTGGATCCCAAGCCCGGGAGGACATTTCTGTAGAGTGGAGTACAGGGGAAAATGACATCCAAACCCTCTTGTGCATTTAGACAAGCAGGAACAGGCACGATGACAGACACAGGCTAGGTGAGGTTTGCAGTTGGCAGTATTGAGGGCTTTGGAAATGTGGACAGACAAAAGCCCATGATGTGCTGATCTGCCCAAGACCAGCTGGAGGTGAGTGAACACTGGCCTATAAGCACTACAGCTGCACTGCTCTGCTATTAACCCCTGCTAATGAGGTCTGTGGAAAGGTATAATGAAGGTATGCATGAGTTCCCTGGTCTGGGTAGACATGTCTTCAGAATGAAGAAAATTTAACCTGAAGATATATCAAAGTTAAAAGCATTCAGTGCAAGAACCAAAAGTAGATCTAAGATCACCTTGCTGTGGAAATATATTCTCTCAGCCCTACTGCAATGCCTTTACCATACTTTTTTACATTACAACAACAATGTTCGTCAAAATGAAAATAAAAAATGAATCTTACCTGATTTTGTCCCATGCCATGACATGGGTATAGTATGATCCTGTGTCCAGTTACTTGATGTTCATTTGTAGGGTTATAATCAAAGCAGAAGTTTGCCATTCCTCTACTCTTCAGCTAATCAAAACAAAATAATATTTTAAAGTATTAATCCAAAGTAAGGAAGATATACTGTAGTCACTTTACACCCATCCTGCTGGGCTGTAAGGTTTGTATCTCAGAGCTAGTGCAAATTAATGGGATTAGATCAAATGGATCCAATGGCAACATCTCTCTGACTAATGTGAAGTAAAACTGTTGGAACCATCCTGACTCTGGGCATTAAAGCAGCCAGACACAATGGCTTCCCCTAGAAGTGACACCATGTTCCAGTGTATTTGCAGATGAAGTAGACAGGAACTATGAAAAGCTGTGCTGAAACCCAAAAAGCCAGCAATTCATGCAGAACAAAAGAGTCTGCCATGTCTCTCCCCCGGCCCAGGACCTACTTTCAATTTTCTTATGATGACTACATACTTTTCCCACTTTGTCAAATGGGAGATATAGGAAGGATTAATTTTTGAAAGGACTCCAGTTCCCTCTTGAGGTTGAACAAGCAGACAGATTTTAAGACCAGAAATCATCAAAGTGGGCAAGATATATCTTTGGAAAGAGACACTAGGTGTGATATTAAACATTCTTTACTATCATTGCTTATCTCTGACAGAATAGGTGCATAACTTTTAGATTAAATTTTAAAATATTGTTATCAGGTATTAAAACCATCAGGCTAATTAACCAGGATTTGCATTTAAGTATCCAGGAGGCAAAAGTAACTTAAAGTAAGTTAAGCAATGCCATAACAATTACTGACTCCTAGTATTAGCCACTTAACCAAATTTAAAATTACACAGAGCAAAACAAGTTCTGTAAACACAGGTTCAAGCTGAATGTCCCCATTAGGGAGTGTAATTATATCACAGACAAAAAGAACAAACAGAGTAAATCTCAGAAGAGTTACTTCAGCAAGGTGTAATTTCACCACTCTTTCCTAGTCACGATAATTGTATCCTCAGTTCTTAATGTGGAGAATGAAAGGACACGGAGGGATTGCAGAAGGCTAAAACCAAACAAACAAGACAAACCTCGCAGGACCCACCACAGAGCAAACCACACAAGCTGGAAAATTAAATACTTGTGTTCTACATATATTTTTGCTTTCCCAACTTCTACTTTTATTGCTACACGATGTCTTCTTTCCACTGCTTTGTGCCCACTCCTGCTGAAAGACAGCCAAGAGCTCAGTGCTCTGCATGCCTGGGCTGCCAGCCCAAGGCAACAGCAATACACTGGGGGGCTGGGGAGGACCACTGAGCCGCCATGGCTTGGGGCCCTTTGCAGGGCTGCTGGAGATGTGAGGCTCTCCTGTCAGAGCTAAATGTATAAATGTAGGACTTAAGCCCTACATTTACAGGCTTTGCCTCTTAATTCCTCTCTGAACATGTTTCCACTAAGCATTTGGTGTATTTTTTCAGTACTGGATAAACTAACATCTGAATTTGTTGTGTGATAAAATTCATCCTTAGTTTTAGTGCCCAAGTTTACCAGAAGCAAAAGAAACCCCTGGGCACCCTCTCTATAAGTGCTGTTTGGCTTGATGGGAACTCACTAGATCACTGTACCCCCCTCCTTGAGCTGTCAGAAGAAAACATTTTGTTTACCTTCATAGCACTAGGCGAGAAATACACTTACAAAAACAGGAAGGAAAAGTGTCTTTCACAAATTATTTTTAACAGTATCATGGAACTACATAAACCAAACAATAAGCTTCTCATGTTTCTACATTCCACATCAAGAAATGTCAACTTAAAGTCATAACCACTTAAAAATGGTAATTGTATCTCTAAAAACGTAAATTGGTTTTGGTTGTTGTCAGCAGCTGTCCTCAGGATCAGAGGGTCTCTCATTAGTATGTTTAATAACGTACGACTTTGCCTGGCTCCAAGGGAAGATAAATGCAGCAAAGCCCTTATCTGTGGTGCCCTTTCAGACAACCCAACACCTCTGCCACCACTCCAAGCGCGTGCTCTTTGCTGTCAGCCCCCAGCATGTGCTCAAGCATGTGCTCCCTTTTGTGGCCTGGAATTTTAAATAATCTATTTTAAAATACCGTGCACCTCCAGAACTACGGTAACTCCTACGCATGTTATGTAATGGCCAAATACAGACAACAAAACGAAAGCTGTGTAAAAGATTACTAACTTAAGCTTCATTTCAGATGGTTCAAAACTGAGCCTGTACTCCCAGGATGTTACCATGTATGTTCTCTCATTTTTCTCTTTCATGCATAAATGTCTGTGATACATGCAGACATATTCCTAAACCTACACGGTCCATATTTCAACCTGGTTCTTCCAGTTTGTTTTACACCCAACACTTTATCAGGAAGCCTAATAAATATTGAAGATCAAGTTTGTGGGAATAGTGCATACTAAGCTGTTAAATAACCTGATTTGAAATGACAAAGATTTGAAAATAATCACATTTGAAAATCTGACCACAGCACCATTTATACAAAAAAAAAAAAGTAAAATCTATCCCCTGTTCCAAAGCAGAAAAAAGTATGAGAGAATTTGTGATAGTAATATTTTTCATTTGTTGATGAGAATACACTGTTTAAGTTCCTTTTATGTGCAACAGCTCTATCAAAACAGTAATCATCCATTCATTTCTGAAGCTATCTTTGTTCCCATATCCACCATAAACAAGTCATGCAATAAGAACAAAATTTTCTCCGTGACTTACCTTAATTCTTTTGCAGAATGCTGCATTAGAGAAACAGAAGCAAGAAAAAATGTTCATCACCTTGCCATTAAAACTCAGACTTCAGTTCTAAAAAGTTCTGCCCATGCAGGATTACTGGCTGTGTCTTTCTACAACATTTGCCTCCTATTCAAACACTACAGGTGTACCCTACAATTCCACTTAGTTAACACTCTGTTTGGAGGCTGTGACAGGTAACAAACAGTAACTACAGAGATATTTGCCTCAGACCTTTATCCCTTACTGCTTGGAGAAATTTAAATCTATTGTTTCCTAACATCTGGACACAATACAGATGGCATCTTGTAAATAATTATTAGTTTGGTGGGTTTTTTTTTAAGATAAAATCCATTTCATATAACTGTATGCAAAGCATCAACAACAGATTTTTGACATCAAAACTTCATTACATTAAGTTGATAAATTCAGCCAGTGGAGCACAGCCAACCTTTCTCTTCATCCACAAAACAGATCAGAATCCTCTTTATTCCGCCACAGTGGCATTGGTGCTGATGCATTAGTAGTATGGGCAGATGATACTGTAGGACACAGTAAGATGTGAACTTGTAGCAAACCAATGGCTTCACGGCACTGACCAGGTGTAAGCCTTTACCTCAGAAGTAATCCAAGCAGTCACGGGGAATGATTTTACTGAGTGTCTGCCATTTCATACCACCCTTCTTCAAAAAAAGATTGTGAATATCCTCGGATTTCTGTTAACTTAAGTGCAATGCTGAAATGGGTATGGAACACTGATGGCTAAGATCCTTTGAAGGAATTGATGATAAGACACCACTTGTCGGAACTTAGTTCCTCACCCCAGGAAGTCCAGATCTCTCTGGGAGGCTCAAGAACATACAAGCACATGTCTCAAGTGATGGTGTGTTCACTTGAGATTAATATCAAACACTTGAATTTCTCCCACTTTCTTTAAAAATGTCTATCTCAAGCTTTCAGAGGCTGTACAGCCAGCAGAGTGATGCGTATTTTCCTGTGATGGGCACAAGATCTCCAGGGTCTAGTCAGCCATAACCTTAGGTACCAATTCAATCTCAAGTGGCAGCTGTACAAATTGTATTATAATGCAGTTTTAGAGGTATACCCTACACAAGTCTGTTTTGGAGCCCGATACCTGTGAGAACTTGTAAGACCAGACAAGAAATAGTCTTCTTGATTACATAAGCCACATCGCTAAGATGTCTTCTTCTGTAAGCCTGTCCATATATATCATCTGCTACTTAGATAATTTACAAAATGGTCTCTTTCATATCACAGCAAAACAAAATTCTTCATAGTTTTAAAGGCTTAAGATCTTTCTTTCTGATTTTTTTTAAGGTGGTATCTGGTCTAAATTAAAAAATTATGACTAAGCATTGATAAATTCTTCGAAGACAAGACAGTCTTGGGAGAAAATGTGGAAGGAAGCCGCCAATAGAAAAATTCAAGTTTTTGAACTCCCAACTGATTCAGTTAGTTGCAGATGCCTTTAAGGACAGGTGGTGAAAAGAGCCATCAGCTAGATAGACAAAACAGACATCTACCAGCTTAACTGCTTCACATTCAGCTGGAAGATCAGCTAGAAACTGAGAAGAACAAAGAAAAACTTCTCGTATCAGAACATAATATGGTGCCACTGCCAAGTGATCAAACTTACATAAAAAGGAAAGATGAAATCCCAATTGCTGTGACAACACTGTCTTTTAAAAGCAATCCGGATGCCAAGTTCAAAGCCAGATTCACTAATTGACCAGGATCTTTACCTTCAGATATGCACCCTGAGTGCGAGCTATACTGAGCACACCTTAGCAGGGAGTGGAACCCTAACTACTACACTGCTTTGCAGCCATGCATTTCCACAGCCAACAGTAACACGAAGAGATCACAGTGCTGCCCAGTTCCTGTACCTTCACCTAGCTGCACAATGCAACAACATCACAGTACCAATATTAAACACAAGATGGCTCAAGGTCCCTAGTGGTGCCCACACCATCCCCTCCCCAAGAGAGCTAAAATCTGTAAGCAGACCTAGTCTGGACTATCTAGGCGGGCAGTGTGCACAGTGCAGAGCTGGGGTTCAGATATTTTTAAGATTTCACATCCACTGAAGCACAAGTACAGCATGCTGGTAAGCGCATATTCAAGGATGACCAAATCATATGCTATACCAGTAAAAGGGCATTAGTGCTCTACACAAGAACCTAAAAGGGATTATTAAGCCTTTCCAGAAACACTGACACCTTATTAACTCACTATGTGCCTATCAGCCCCCCTCCTACCAAAAAACAACAACAAAAAAATTGAAGTCAAAATGTTTAGTTCACATCCCACACAAAGTTCCAAAAATGGCACCTGCTTGAGCCAAGCAAGGAGGAAGAATCATACAACCACAGAATGGTTTGGGATGGAAGGGACCTTTAAAAACCATCCAGTCCAACTCCCCAGCCATGGGCAGGGACATCTTCCATTAGATCAGGTTCCTCAAAGTCCAGTCCAACCTGGCCTTGAGCACCTGTTCTAACGCCCTACCATCCTCATTGTAAAAAATTTCTTCCTTATATCTATCTATATAGATGTAAGATAGACCATGCCTATGGCCCCCACCCTGGCAGCTGAGGTGTCACTCTCATTCAGAGCTGTCAGAGCGTCTAGCTCACCTTGCTTTAATATGCCACTGCACAAAACAGTACTAGGAGCTCAGACAGGAAGTCAGAGTAACCTCTCCAAATTTTCTTTGCTCTTTCATTAAAATAGTGAATAGGGACTTACAACGTACTCCTACAAAAATGCTATGCAAGAAAGGGAACAACCCTTGAAGTTGTGGCAATTTATTTAAGTTTTCCATGCAGTTATCCTTTTATCTAATGCTGTCACCTCATAGAGCAATTTGAGTGTTTTCCAAAATTTTGTCTCATAATGGCCTCTGCAGCCTTAACGTTTGAAATTTTATGTTTTGAACTTCACTCCACGGTTCCAGTACCAGTACTTTTATGGAAAAAATCTGACTTAAGTTAACAACAACAACAAAAAAAAACAAACGAGAACATTTGTGATACTGATAGTACCACTTCTTAAAGTATGATTTTGTTCAGAATACTGAGATAAATCAGTATTGTGGTATTCCAGATTTATTGATGCTATATGATTTTAGTATAAAGGCTACTAATTCTACTACTAAGGAGATGCATTTCCCCCATTTCCAGGCCTCAGGAAGTTTATAAGAATGCAAACATAGCTCAGGCAAATTATTCAGAATTCTGTATGTTTAAATCAAGTTTTAGGCCCTTTTAGACAACCAAGTTCAGTACAGATAGTAAAACTTTATGTATCAGGAGAAGAATTTTAGCACAAGTCTCTAATTGCCAGTGCATGGCACTAAGTGCTGTTCAATAATTCTCGCATTTATTTCAATAACATATGGCTGACCTACAGATAATCTTAGACTTTTCAACTTCGTGTGAAGATTTTCAAGGGAGGGAGAAATCCCATTATCCCTTGCAACCTCTTTGAACAATTAAACAAGCTCACACTAAACTGAGCTGTTAACAAAGGCGACACTTTTTAACAGAGTATTTGTCTGAACCAGAAAAGCACTACAGAGCTAAGGCAGAAGTAAAGAACATGATCAATGATTCATTGAAGCTAGCAGATGGGACTCAATATCCACAAATCAGTAGGTGTCATTTTTGCACTGTCACTTTCTTGAAGTATAACTCTAATCACATTTTAAATTCTTTGTGCCAAAAAAAAATGGTGTATTCTTATTATACTCACAACTACATGACAGCATTTAAGAATTGTTTTTAGAGAAATATATAGAGCACACTTAAATTACACTGTAGATACCTCAAGCAGCTCTGAACATGAATTATTACTTCTAGGTATTGTCAACACCTTTCCTGAGGATGACACGTGCAGTTAAATCATGAAAGAAACTGCAAGTCCCGCCCCCTCCCCTGGAGGCTGAAGCACTATTACAGCCACCAGTCTAGGTTTTCTTTTGGAGGGTGAAGGGGAGGATAAGGTTACTGAAATGCTCCTGGAAGGTAAGTCTTGGAATACCTTATTGCTTCCATTGTCTCTGACCTTGTCAGTTAGAGACCTGTCACGAAACAACAAAAAGTGAACCGATGTTGTACCAGGGTCTGTTCAAGGTACTGGATAATGGTGAATAGTACCTTTCATGCCAGTGATCACACAGAGATACCAACTCAAGTGCAAGCTCCAAGACAAATGAAGGAGGGTGGCTACTCTCTCAGAGGCTCCGAAGGGCTTTGCTGCCAATTGATGCACTCCTATGGGAACTCCTAGAGCTACCCCGGAAAACAGAGTTCTCTGCAGAAAACTGCAGCATTGTCACATTAGGATCTTTTTTATTCAACAGGTAACAAAGCTATGAGGGAAGACTGAAGGGACGCTTGGTTCCTGTACATTTTGTATATCCACAGTGGTCAGGTTTTTCCCTCCACTGAAGGAGATCCAGCAGACTGAGTAACTGAAGTGCAGATGGCAGCAAGACAAGACTGTTGTGATATGGGCTGGATGCAATGCAGCAATGTGGGAATGCAGCTTAGCTAGATCTGCAGAGTGATCGATGTACCAGCAAAAATACTTCTAAGTCAATGTGGCATTGGTAATCAGGAAGATTATACATCTGGTAATCAGGAAGGTTTATACATCTTTGCCTGGCAGAAAGGTGCAGTCTTGTCTTCCTAATAAGACACACAGCAGGTATCTGCTCATTTTTCAGAGGAAGCAGGTATTTGCTGCATCATCTCTGCCTTCATCCCTTCCAAATGAGATTACAGTAATGTGATATACATGGAGCTATAGTTTATATTTATTTGTAAGCTACAAATAGCATGGAAAGTTGTCAACTCTTAAAAAAAGAGAAGATTTGATACTGAATCAATGAAAATGGCTTGTGATCCTGTGCTGGTCTAAAGTGACCTCCAGATTAAAAAGTTAACATGCTAGTTTTGACATGCAGAATCCTATATGATCTAGGAGCACCAACTCTCTCTCTGTTGTCATCAGAGCATCAGATAAAGTGTGCAAACACATATTTTAAAGCACACTCTATTTTCAAGTTGACAACTACAACCCAGAACATTGTGGTGCTCTTTTTTTGCTATGCAACATTTTGATAAATTAAAAAGTCATCCTTTGCTGCCTTTAACACTCCTAAGATGTCACTCGGAAGGTGTAATTCATGTCAACACTACCTGTTCTCCTACCCTTTCACACAACTCCTTTAGAAACAGCATCCCCTAGAATAGAGATTCTGATAGAAACCACATTTTAAAGCCTACCAATTCTAACTGAATTCTATCAAAATCCCAAACTGTTTTCAGCATAAAAAATACCTTCAGACTGAGTTAACAGGAGAGAGATCAGACAACCACAAGGAGGCCCCTTCTATGCAGCCACATACCATTCCAAAGAAGCCCGGTCTGTCCTCAGGTACATGAAGCTCTGGGTACACATTCTCCAAGAACCACTTGAAGTCCTTACATTTCAGCTTCTCTCGAAGGAGTCTCCTTTCTGTCACATCTCCATATGGTTCCTAAAAAAAAAAAAAAAAAAGAAAAAAATAATTTTAAAAAACCCAACCAGAACAGATGCTCTCTTTTAAATTATCTGTATACATTATTAAGAACCGTATGCTAGAGCAATGAGTAGGACTTTTAGCCAGCAAAAATCCCCATGTTTGGGTGCTGAATTTGATTTCATTATTCTTACGTTGGTTAAATGTTGACTAAAAAGATCTGGAATGATGCACGTAAAACTTTAAAATATTCTAGAAGGCAGTTGTCTGAAAAGACTCCCCAAATCTGCAAGTAAGGAAGTCCTTGTATACAGATTACTGGGAACCTAGAAGGTGTTTTTAAAATAAAACTTCCTTTATTTGGATAATTTAAAATCTCAAAGGCAGTGAACAAATGTTGAGAATTTTACATTATTCCACTATCCATTTACAAATTACCTGTACAGACAGTTTTATACTTAACTGATGAAATTAGTAAAATCTGCTAATGCTTCCTTTGAACTTCATAGTTTTTATGGGGTGGGGAGTATGAGATCTTAAACCTCCAGAGAAAAACTTTAATTGCAGACTTTTCCCTGTCTATAGACTGAAGCGGAGTTCACATCTTTTCACACCTGTCTTCAAAAATCTATCTTTATATTGACTAGGGACTTCAGATAGTCAGGCACAAGCTATTGTTTGCAGCCCCCAGATTTTTACAGGTCACTTGACACACTTTCATAAAACTACAAATATATTTGCATTTCTCCAAGTTGTGGAAGTATCACTGAAAACACAAAGCAGATATAAAACAGAGGCAGAGATGCCTGCTTGAATAAACAAACAGCATGTCATATTAGCTCTGAGGTCTGAACATTAATCTCTAAGCAAAACTTTATAGAAACAAATGCTGCAGCCATAGCATCACTCATTTTTCCATTATGCTACAGAATTGACTATTTGGATTAGATGAAGTAGAAGAGTCTGAATTCAACTGCTGCAACAAGTGGTGCATAGAGTACTACAGAAACCAGAGTGCACTGGTGGCAGCTTTGAGACACACAAAAAAACCCTGCATCCACTTACATGTTTACACGCACTGTGTTACAACATGCCAATATGCAAAACTCCCTACAGTAACACACAACTATCCCTTAAACTTCTGTCATCGTAGACATCAGCTGCCCAGAACTTCACAAGAAAAACTGTGAGCATTTATTGCCGTTTTCTCTTTGCATATGACAAGCAGAATCAGCCTGGCATTGCCTGTGAGCTCCCATCTTCAGATACACAAAATGTGTATTTTTCTTGAAGTCAGACTCTAATAATAAAACCTAGATGGCTCTTTATGATGTTAAAGTAAAACAATTATTACAGATGCGAGGACCATAATAATCTAATTACCCCCTTTAATCCAAAGGAACACGAGATGGAAGCTAACCAAATTCAGGTTCCCCAGTGTCCTCCAGCATAACTTTTAAAAGCCTAATGGTTTCAAGAGCATTTTTTCCCCTGGCATGTCTGTTGGGGTAGGCCATTCAAACACATGGGGAGCTCCCTGTCCTCCTGCCTGGTCCCTAAGTTCTGGTCTGGTGTAGCTAGAGGTGGGTTGCCCAGCAGCCCACCACAGGGCAGCTCTCCCCATGCACAGAATCAGAAAGCTGGCACTCGGAAAACTTTCCGTGCAAAGAGAAACACCTCAGAAGATTAAGCACCTCCAGAAACAAGTAACAGCAGAGAGTGACTTCTTTTCGGCCTGAATTCTGGACTTTGTGGCAGAGGTTCATATAAGTCATTTCTAGACATTGGGAAGATATTTCAGCATTACTGTCTTCCAGCCTACAGGCCCCTCACGATAAATATATCCAAGCTATGAATTTGCACACAGCTTTACTGTTCTGACCCATTCAATGTTCACAGTATTTAGCTCCTGAAAAATTTTGCAAACAAATGGTCTGCTATTTTTTTCCTCACAGAAAATAAAAACATTAATTATTTTTTTTAAAAAACAGAACTGATACTTCAAACACTTCGTTAGGAACAATCTCACCTGAGTTCCCAGGACTGATTTTAATTAATCTTTGTAATATTGATTTTGGTGTTTGTTTTTTGGTTTTGGAGGGGTTTTGGGGTTGGGTTTTTCTTCTTTTTTTCTTTTTTTTTTTTTCTTTTTAAAATCAAACGTTGTGCAGCAGTAAATCAAACAGAAAAATCCATTTTGTCTTACATCAGGCCAAAGTTTTACAATTATCACAAGACAGGTAATTTTGCTAAAGATTATTACCATGCTGCACACTTAAAGATCTACTGTCCATTGAACTTTGTTGATTAGCATTTGTTAACTGTGTGCCGCCTCTGTAATTCTTTACTGATAGAATCCTGTATCAGCTGTTTCAAAGGAGTGCACATTTTAGGTTAAACAGCTCCTCCTGACTTGGGTCACCTTGCTTAACTTTATTCTTTCATTTATTCATTCATTCATTTAATACTGACACGAATGTGGCCTTCTTCTAGTCTTACAGAATTTCTCACTTTTTCCAAGGAATTAAAGATTAACTATATGTACACTTATTCTGTTTGGGAAAAAGTTTCAGGAGAAATAAACACAAAAAAGCACTTCATGTTATTACACTGAAACCAAATTCTATTGAAATTCCAAGAACTTGAACTCACCAGGCGAGCGTGTGGGTTTCGATGGTAGTAAATTTCTTTATAGTCATCCATCCATACTTCAGCTGCACGCACGCTATTTGCCAAAGCTTTCGACCGTGAGTAGGGAGCTTGTTTGGGGAAAACGTGACCTACATGTGAGCAAGGGTGGATCTCAAGACTTCCTCCACACTGCCATATCTGAACAAAGAATTGACGTTGTGCATCATTAATTTGAATCTTTGCAAGCTGAAGGATGCAGTAACAATAAATCTTTGAAAGGATAATACCTTCCCAGGAACATTACAGTGTACTATAAGCAACACATACAATAATTGTGTGTCTTATTTAATGAGATTAAATGACAACCTTGTGAACTCAGAGCAAATCACTGGGAGTAACAAGGAGACAACCCCACCTCCGGTTTTATGTGGTGTGCAATTATCCCTTTGTTAGCTTTACTTTCTCTGAAGGCATGATAAGAAATGGCCCACAATGTTTCTGCAGGTCAAACTGTGGTCTACAGTTGAAGTTATATGGGCAATATCAACAAAAGAGCCATTTTTCTAGTCCGAATTAGCCATACAAATAGCCTCCTCAAAGAAACCAGTGACTGATTTCTTACTAGAAACTTACTCTTGTATTCTGCAGGACAGCTTACTTGATGAACCATGTAAGCTCGTCATATTATTGGAGAATTGCAAGTTATGTTTCCATTTCTGTGTTCACCGTGTCAGAAGAGAGGTATGGGTGCCTGGTGATAAAATATAACTAATCTTTTTCATTGGAAAGCTGGGAAAAGAACCCAAGACCCAGTGCATGAAAGGAAAAAGCAAAGTAAATCTGTAACTGACCCATGGTGGTCCAGCCAAGATCAGTGAAACAACCTCTTCTATTAAACCAATATTCCTACTTGCTGTCAATAAAAGTACTGGAACCTGAATGTGGAATTGGCAGAACTCATTCTGCCCTCATCCTCATGCCTCTGGCTCTCCAAGTCAGGAAATACATGGCCCTGGAGATAAAGCCCATGAATGACCACCAAGCAGGGACACTGGTCTCAACTCTGAAAAATTTCTGTAATTATTCTCATCACCTTTGAAAATTATGGACTTTTGGCAGCTCATCCACACAGCCACTGACTCAAGTTTGATGTAATGAAAGGAAAGCATGGCTAGACATTTTCCATTTAATACTATGCACAATGTGGTAGACAACCTGTTTTGGACTGAAACCTGTTTCCGGTGCCTGAAACAAAGTTTCTGAAATTGTCAGATGGGAGGAAAAGCAGGACACATTGCTGCACTTGAACAGGCTTGAGGCTCTCACCAATGGCTCCAACAGACTTCCCGCACAATTTTTTTTTTTTGAGAACTATCGACTCCAGTGAGCTAAAGTCCCTTGTGTATTCAACCATGCATAGGTGGCCACTCACCTTTCCTTCATAAATGGAGGACAAAGGAAATTCACTGAGATATGTTTAAGGGGTTGAGAGGTTTGCTCCCCAACAACCTTCTTGTATAACAACTACATTTTTAATTACATGTTATTCAAATGAACACAGCAGGAGTGAAAGCTACGAGGTAGCAAATAAAACTAATGACAACAGATCAGGCGAGACTTCTTCTACCTCTTTTCTTGAGACTTTTAGGGATCCACAAAGTCACTACAGATGAAGGCTTTCAGAATACACATGATGGATGTTGTCTTCAGGCTGGGTTTTATTTTGGTTTTGAGGGGGGTTGGTGTTTGGGTTGGGTTGATTGAGGGTTGGGGGGTTTTTTTTAAGTTATTTAGGATTTCTGTCAAATTTCTTAATTTAGAATGTAATGAACATTGTCTCATTTGATTTGTTTTGGATAATAATGAAGACCTTTACATGTGGTTGTAACAAAATTGTAAGCACTCTAATACATATGTTTACTTTTAAAACAAACAATTGCCTTAAAGGTATACGTAATTCATTATGAAACTATATGGAGCACTGGATAAACTTTACTTCCTGGATTTTAAATTTTCATTTCTTGCTTTTCATGAGAGGTTTCTCTCTTCTTTTTTGTTGCTTTTTGACAAAGCAGTATATTTGTCATTTGAACAGAAAGATGATGAAAGGAATTATACAAGAACTCCAGAATTCTGTACTGATCTTTTAAACAATTTGCATATTTTCACATGTATGTTATGCTACTGCCATTTTGAAAGCTGCTATGAAACCAGTTACCCACTTTCACTTTAAGATCTCTTTCTGAGATTTGTTTCAAAACAATAGCTTTCTTACATTATTATTTCTATATCCAATATTACTTTTTAAAGTTGAAATTATCACACAAGATGTTTGTCAGCAAATATTAAGCACCACTGAAATTAAAGTTTAATAACTTCCATATTTGTTATATTCCATGTAAGCATTTTTTAAATTGATCATTACTGTCTTGACCTGTTTTTAAACAAGAGATGAGGAACAGACCAGAAAAACTCCTGATGTAAAAATGCACAGTTAAGAAGGAAGCACTTTCTTCTACTCTGTCATTATAAAGTCTGATTTAAATGGAGTAACAGACTGAACATATCTCTGTTAAACTGACGCCAAAAAGAGAATGCCAGAACAGCTGATTTTTCAATAATTAAAATTCTGAATTTCTCTAAAAAAACCCTTTAAGTTGCTAAGCAATGCTCACTAAATGCTCACTGCTTCTTTCATTAAGTTTAGAACTTCTTATCTTCCTATTACAAACAAAAATTAAATATTTTTCACCTAAACAATTCCTCAAAAGGTTTATTTGTTTTTATTTTAATGGAAAACATTTTGACCTCTATATAAAATCAGATACTAATGAAGAGCTGTAAAATGAAGAAAGGAATTCAACAGAGATACCAAAGTTGATTACTATATGCTAAATAAGTGACTCTGGAGAAGATTCTCCCCCAAAACTACTTCAGTCTTCTGTAACAGAGAACAGTAGATTTCACGTATATTTTGCATGTTCACGTGCATGAAAATACATTTCTTTACTAGGCCTGGCTACTTCGCAGCTCTCACTATAAGAGCATCCTGTTTTCTTCACCACTAAAAGGAAAAAAGGTAACATTCCTTTTTACTTTCACTTTCCTCTTGATGCATGCAGACTATCAATATCTTTTCCTTTCAGAGACAGATGGTGGCATTATGGAAAGCTACAGTAAATGTTCAGATCTTGCCCTGTGATCCCTACCCCTGCCAAGGTCTCTGGACAACTGACCTAATGCTGGGCCAATGAAGTAAGAAAAGCTCTATAAGCTCTACCACCTCCATTCTAACATTTTAGGACTCTCTAGAAGAAATAAAAACAAACAAAAAAGTATGCTACCTCCTAAACAAAGCCAAACTGAAGAAAATACTCTGTTCCTGCCCCTCCCTCTCCTGCAATTTAGTTTGCTGGCTGACAGCTGAACTGCCCGGCGTGGCGCTGGTGCTCATGCACGATCTGCTGGGAGCTAGGTAGGCAAAGGAGCCTCCTCAGCTGCATGAACCCATCCTGGCTGCTCCCAACACAAGACACATTCCCAGATCCAGACAGAAAGAAACAATACAAAATGATCAGAAAAGAGAGGCAGAGGTATATCATTCGGGCTTATCAGCAATGAAATTTCCAACAGAAGAAAGGACTTAACCATTAAATAATTTTGTCTTTTTGCACACGCGTGGTTTCCTCTCATGCTGTGATGGTGGGTTGAAGGACAGACCACAGGTGTAAGAAACGGTGGTCCCCAGAAATAAACTTACATTGCCGTGCCACTAGCAGGACCAAGAGGAGAGAGGTGGAAAAAAGCTACAACGGCGTTCCCCTTGCTCCATGTACAGGAGGGGGAAGATGAAAGGACACGTTCTGCATCCCTCAGACAGAGGAGTTTCAATGCCCATTATGCCCATGAAGTGAAATTTTATCCAGCCAAATAGCATTAAGCAATTTGAAATCAAGGCACATTGACTTGATCCTGCATTCAGCACACAGCCTTCATCTCTCTTAGTCATCGTGCTTTTAGCCGAAGTTTTGTCCTTGTTGCTCCTCTCAAAACCACAGAGAATTTTTTCAGTTTATTATAACTGTAGTATGAGAAAGAGGAGGTTTAAGGACAAGTCCTTTCATGTCATCATGGTGGTGTTTTCAGAAATGAGAAGAACAGTGAATTAATTTACAATGTTTTTCAGTATCCCTGCTCCTAATTTTCAGATGTGGCAAGTCTAGATACCACGGCGACAACAGAATTAACACTGATCTATTCCTCTTGACCTTTTTCAGCACCATAGGCAGCCAGAAGAACCAGTTAAGCAACATCATAGCACTCTGCTCTGTCCCACAAAAACCCTCACCGCAGGAATCACGAGTACAGGGTCCTGAAATCAAATAGAGGAAAGCACACTGTGCACAGTTTGGATCCAAATGCCCAGATCCTACTGGCAATCTACACTAGTAAAATTACACATTCAGGCATATCCACTGGCCATTCCAGAGTCTGTCCTGCAAAACTGTAGGCCGCCCAGAAGAGAGCCTCTTGATCTGCCCGCAGGCACCTCGCACCAAAGCTCCCACTCTGCTTTCTCATTTAAGCACCTCTCTACCATGAACCACATCCCTGCTCTTGGAAGTGCATGACACGCTGCACGCCTGCAGCTGCTGGAGAGTCGCCCCAAGCCCCCGGGCTGGTGCACACATGTGCCTGCTCAGCCTCGGTGGGCCACGGCAGCGTGTCTGCCCACAACCCCCAGCTCACTGGCTCCTGCAGACTCGGCTGCTGCTCCTTTGTGACTCTCCTGCATGCTAGGCAGCTTCTGATGTTTTCTCTGTCCCATGAGGAGACCACTGTTCTCCATGATGAAGGAGCAAAGTCACTGCTCATACATGCTGCTGAACCCCTTGGTGTCAAACACCTGGTTCAGGGGAACCACATCAAAAATGTCATACAGGACAGGGGTGAGGCTTGTCCCATCTGCGAGCCATGTCTCCCAAAAAGCAAGACATGAAGAGCAGAAAGCCAAGAACTGCATGCCAAGAGGGCTGTCTTCTAGGCTTCTACAGCTCCTTGTAACAAGCCCCCACAGTCCACTGCAGAGGATAAAACCACTGCCAGCTGGGGTGGTGCTACCCCTAACTCCTATTGGTTAGGGGGCAACCATTTTGGTGCCATCAAATCTGTGGCAACCAGGGTCACAGAAGACTGCAAACGCTTCAGCAACGTGAAGCAGATCCTGTAATGTCCACTTCTGTCAACTGCGTCTGTTTCTGAGCTTGCTGCTTTGGGAGAGGTGCAAATTTCTGCTAAGAGGCAGAGCATGTAGTACTGCTTTCAAAAGCAGCATTCTCTCAACCTCATGGATGCTCAGTCTGGTTGCACTTGCACTAGCAAACACAAACAAGTGCCTGCAAGAGCCAGTCTTGCTCAAGAGATGAACATATCCAACATGTTTGCTACTGTTAGGCTACATTTGTGGGAGATAGCGTCATGTTCTGACGTAGCTTGCTGCTAATATGACAGTCTCCTGTCTCTGCTTATTTGTCTGCTGCAGTAGTGTCACAGCTGAGAAAGTAGGAGACACAGTAAGCCCTAGGTCAGCAAGCATCTGTACCCAAAACTGCATGACTCCCTCTTTGTCACCACCCCTTCCAATCCCTCAGTAAGCAAGACAAAAATTTTCCCTTGTCAGAGTTAGCTGAGGATGGTGTTCACCACCAGGCTGCTTTCCTGCTTAACCTACCTTAGGTTGTAATCAATGACGAGCATGATCATTTCTTTGGCCCCCCAAGTACAAACCCAATCTATTGCCACTTCTGACTCCCTGAGCAGCCCCTCAGAAGGAGGCATAAAAATAATTTCATCAAGAGCTATTTCATAGCTCCTGACCCTGTGACTACGCAATTATCCCACAGAAAAGAAAGTGGAAAGAGGGGACCCCCTGGAACATACAGGCTACACCAGAACTGGAAGACTCCTGCTTCAGCAGCCCCTGGGGCTCCTGGGGGTGGGTAAGATGCTCTGAGCTTCAGGCAAAGGCCTGCTGAATTTACTGTCCCAAGACAAATAGGTTGTGTGTTTGAACTTATATGCCAGAAACTTTTCTCTATGTGAGAAAGGAGGTGGTCATGAGTTAGATCAAACAGTGATTCTAGCTGAGAAATCCCATCCCAGAGAAAAACCATGTCAAATCTAGGTCTGTGCTTATTATCCTCCCTTATCCTTTTCTTTCCTTATTTTTGTACCACCTTTGCTAGGATTTCTGCACTACAGGCAGCAGGAGACAGGAACAGAAGCTAGGAAGACTCTATACCCCTCTGGTTAACAAGCAGACATCAAATGACAGTCTGATGATGTCTCCTTTCTCAAGAAAATGGGTTTATAACATTAAAATGCTATTTATCCCTGAAATCTGCTGTCACCTGATAATAAACAAAACAAAAATATCAGCCCTCCTGTCCCACAATCCAGTGACACAAAGAAATGCAAATATGACAATAAAGCATACCTGATGACAAGGGAAATACAGGCTATTAAGTTGCTCCCTGCAAGCCAAAAATGGCCCTGCAGTGTACCTCTTATGCCACTACTGGACTCTTCAGCAAGGTTAAGTGTGACACAGGGCAAACCACAGGCAGACAGCACACTCAGTGGAATCAGCAGCAGCACAGGCAACAGCAGAGTTAGAGGACAAGACTTTTTTACTCATCAGTCTGGACTGTCTTGTATCTCCTATCTCTTCCCCTACCATAAATCCTTTCCATTCCAGCTATCTGCCTAACACTTGAGCACTGGTCCAGCCTCCAGTGGAATACACCTCTACATTTCCTGGAGATTCTTCCCACCACTTTTTATAAACTTTATACAAACTTTTCCTGAAGTGAAACAGAATAAACCCTTAGAGATGTGCAGGGGCTGGCTTGTCCTGCCCCATTGGTACCTGCCACCATCTACCTCCTGCTCACTCCATCAATGACAGAAAGTTCCAAGTCACATTAGAGAATTATAAATGTTTCTTTCCAATGATCCTCTTCAAGCCACAGAAAGTAAATTTCATCTGATAATATCACACCACTACTTACATTTTATACTGGCATTCAAAACAAAGACACATTTTTAAAAATTATTTTTAAATGGCTATTTGAAAGGAAAATACAGTTACAATGAAGTGTGAGAACAAGGAAAAGAGATTCCTATAAACATCTCCCAAAATATTCTCATTAAGGAGAAGGGTGTGAAGAAAGAAATAAGCAACTTGGTTTTATTCTCATGAAAAAAAAACAAAAACTTTCAATTGAGACACTTACCCTAAATGAGAATTCAAGGTTTTCTCCTCCCCAGACTTCCATTCCTGTGTCATATGAACCAAGGTAATCAAAATACTTCTTGCTCACAGAAAACAATCCACCTGCCATGGTTGGAGACCTATAAAAGACAACAGTAACTCTGAATTGAATAAAAAGAAACAAAAAACAAAACCCCAAAAACCCAAACCAATGCAATGACTAAAAAATACAGTATATTTTTATTTTCCATTTTCTCAGTCTTTTCTGGGTACAAAGTAACAGTCAGCCATTGGTCTGTTATCATCAGGCCATTGAAATTTAAACTAGTAGTAAAAAATTGTATCAGAAACAAGCTCCAGAATGTATTAAAGTAACAATGAAATCAGAAAAGATAAACACTGTGTTAATTTTTGCAATCACAGTGTCTTTGTGACAATAAATAACTAGTGTCTTACCTTCACATAGCAGAACATAACTTTTTTGTGACAGAATTACATTAGTCAGCTCTGAAATTCGAAGTGGAGTATCCTTATATATTTCACTTATGTAATAAGTAAACAAATATGTGTGCTATAGAAACTAATAACAACATTCCTGATCCCATTAATACTGAGTGGAAAAACTCCCAGACATCAATTGAGGAGAATTAAATAAATAGAGCCCCAAGGAGATCTTTTTTTTTTTAATTTGCTAAGAAGATCTGCCCACCTGTAATTTTTACATTTTTTACTAAGTTTGGGAAAAAAAATAAATCAGGGGGCAAGGCCAGATCCTCATCAAAGACCACAAGGCCCAAGCAACAGCGCACTTAAGGGATGTACTTTCAGTAGGGTAGTGTGTGCATACATACATAAACTTGTATTTGTTCAATATTGTTCCGAATTGTTCACAGTCTCAGAAAATGATCCTCTTTAAAGTGCCAAGCATATAACGCTTGTTGGAACTAAATTCAGCTGACACTTTATGAATTTTGCTAAACTGCTGTTGAGGTAAATATTAACAAATACTAGGTGCAGTGATCAGTTACTCTTAATCTGTCAAAACTAATTTTACCAGCCATCTTTTTGAGGCAAAACAGTCTTACACTGTCATATGTTGTTTCAAAGAATGGAATGAGATGAGGTGAGACAGAAGGAAAAAAACCAAACTCCATAACCATTCAAGTTCTTCTGTCTCACTCCAGGTCTCATCTTTCCAAAGACAGCTGCCAGTGACACCGCTCTTGGCACTGCTGCTTTCTCCAGACACTTGCTGAGCTCACAGTCCTCAGGCTACTTTGAAGCTTTATCCTTCATTGTTTTCCCCTTGGCATGCCAAAGACAATTATTCTTGTTGTGAAGAGGAAAAGCATCATATTTAAACTAAAGACTTTAAAAACATTTACTCTATTTTGAAACTCATGAGAATGTGGACTAATATATGTTGAGAGAGACTAAATTGCTGTCTCACTTTTACCATTTTAAAAAAAGAAAAACAACTCTTTCAGCTGAGGATAAGTTCATTAATATTTGTGAAGTACTGGGTATTATTATCCTGATAAGCGATAATAATACCCAGTATAGAAAAGACTAAGAAAAATTAATCATCCTGTATCTGTTGCAGTCCATAAGGTAACACATTATAAATAAAAGCATAGATCAACAAAATCAGGATGTTAAAAATGCCAAACAGCTGCTTCATTTCTTACAATACACTGCTGAAATACAGCAACTTCCACGTTGAACGTAACAGACCTCAACTGTCAGGAGTTTGTCTACAGTGTCCATTTTCCAGATGCATTGTTTTGTACTCTTACCTTTCCTCTCCTAAAAATACAGCATGGGGTGACAAATAATACCGACTGCCTGCAAACTGTCTTGAAATAAAACAAAAATAAAACCCACAAAGAAGACATTCACATGAGCTCCTGAGAGTTAGCCCTTCATAGAAACTACGGTGGATAGAGCTGTAAGATTTCATAGTAAATAAATTTCATAGTAAATAAATATTTCATAGTAAGAACTAGCAAACTCATTTACCTTTGAAAACAGTGCAAGGAACCACCACTATCACTATACAGCACAGATAAAGTCTTTGAAACTACTTTTGCTTTCTTACTGATTGATGATTTTTTTTTTTTTCCTTTTTTCATTGTTGACCATGATACATTTTTTACAAAGTGGATTTCTTTGCTTTGCACAGAGGACATCCTTCAGTATTAGTTAATCAGTTACAACCTTTCTGTGTGCTGGTAAGCGTCTGTGGGAGTCTGCCTGTGGAAATCAAGAGACTACTTGCACAGTAAGGATTCCATATGGAAGATTACACAGAAATTTCAGCTTCTAGAGCAATATTTTTCCAGGAGCATGGTGAACAGGAACTATTTTGGAAAAAAGGGGAACTAAACAAAACATGTACTTTTTAGTAATATGCTCATTTCTCAAATATTTTTCAGCACCTGGCACTTCCAAGTTAAATCAAAACCACTTGTAACATTCACAGTTTCATAAGATGCATAAAAATTAACCTGATCACATCGGTCTTGGACTTTCTCCGTTTTTGTTCTCTTTCAGGGGTACTATGCCAAGTGAAGACCAGCCTCCAGTCAAATCCGCCAATCTGTGGCTCACCAGCATTTCCCAAGTACTCAAATGTATTCCAGTCAATAACATCAATAACAGGGCAGACAACTGCTGATTCTTCTTCTGCAATCCTAGTATGTTTTTAAAAGAAGAGAGTGACTTCCATTAGAAAATTCTCTCAAAAACTAGAACTGTGAAGAACAGAGAACGTTTAACAGATAAAAACATAAAGCTTTGCTCCTTTTCAATTCATGCTGCAATACAAGGAAATAATGGCTACAAGAATAACCACCGATTTCTTCCTAAGGATGCATCGGGAGGATGCTTCAGGATGGACTCCACTGTAGGCACCTGGCAAGCATCAATGCTCCTCGACAGGGGAAGCAAGGCATGTCATGTGGCTTGAGACAACACATTCAGCATCTGGCTAGGCTGCCATAGCCAGCATCACATTCTCAATTAAAATGTGTATTTTGTTTTGTACAGGTAGCTGCATTCAAGGTATTAAGAGAGCAGCATGATTGTATAGTTCTGCAAGCCAGCGTCTTGGCCTTTAAAGTCATGATTGTTCTTGCAACTGTGATCATCTGCAAAAAGTTATACCGAGCACTATAACTAACTCAAAAAGAAGCCATGAACTTAAACAAAAAAACCCACGAGGCATGGGAATTAGACCTCCAAGAATGAAACATACACGAAGGAGGTCCCCAGAGACTCTGACAACATATGAGATAAAAAAGGGGAAGCAAGGTAGTACTGCAGAATGACAAACCTATCAGCAAGGCTGAACTTAGTATGATAAAGATCTTAGCTATCTTTAGAATACATAAGTGCTGATGACATTGCTTGCACGTCTACTTCTGCAAAGAGATAAACACCTTCCTCCCTTTTCTCAACACCATGCAGGGTTTTCTGGATTCCATTCCAAAAGCATTTGCCCTTACAAAAGACAATGGGTTCCTCTGTCTTCACCTCAACTTCTGGAAAGGTCTCTCTCTCAGTACTAGGAGAGATCAGCTTCCAACATGCAAGCTCAAACTAAGGTCTTTCTCCTAAATCACTTTTTAGCAATCTTCTCTATACTAGTCTTAGACATCTCCTGTTAGTTCAGTGAAACAAAGTGACTTGATTGACTTTAAGATGCTGGTACTTGTTTTAGCTCTGCATCTTCTGATCTGTGTATTCCAGAGGAGAAGAAAAAACTGAATGCGTAGCACTGCCAAACAAGAAAGAATTGTGACGTATCTGTCATTCAAGGGGGGCTAGTTCCTCATGGGATTATTAAGCTTAAAACCTTCAGGCTGACCAAGGGGCTCTGACTCTAAAATTAGAGCAGCTTGGGGTGGTTAAATGCAGCAGACAACAGCAGCAGTTGCAAAGAAGTATTGTCTGAGCTGAGAAAGACTGCCTTAAGTACGAAATGGTCTCTTTTTGCTGGAGGGAAGATGTGACACAGCTGTTTCCTTCTTTATGATCTCCCATTGAAATACTGTTTGGTACAGTGCACAAAAGAACTTATAAAAATATTCCTATCTCTTGTCTCACTTGCATAACGCTTATGTACAAAGCAATGAAAATGTCATGTACACAGAGGAAATAATCCCAGTAAAACATAAAAATGCTTTGTTGCTGCTGTAAAAGGAGTAAAAACTAGGTAGCTGTCACAATTTCAGTTATGAAAAGAATCAGGTAAGTGAAAAGCCATCACATTTAAGTTAAGAATTAACTGGATGGCACAAATCACAGGCAGTTTACAAATACAACTATGTTTGCACTACAAAATGCTAACACTGTTGTATTGCTCCCCTACATCTGAGTCAAATATGCCATGAAAACATCCCCTCAGAGATGTACGTCTGCATTTGCAGCAAAAGCAAAAATTCCAAGACACATCTAGGCCTAACTTTTTACAGGTGGCGATTTAAATTATCCAAATCCTTCCTCAAGATTGCCATCTAGTGGTTTGCTAAAGTAGTGAAGAAATTACAGACTCATCTCCACAGTCATGTACTGTTTCTTCAGAGGACAGTCGTTAAAACCAGGCTTACTCTTTGTTTTTTATCCCTTTTCCTTTCTTCATACTATCTATACTGTTCATAGTTAACCCTCAGCTATCTGGAATACACTCGGTGTGACATTTATAAACAAATTAAATATAACAATTTTAAGAATAATTAAAATATTATTCTAGATGCAGTTTCAAATGAACACAGGGAGTTTGAGAAATCTCTCTCCAGTTTGCATAGAGCTGTTTATTTCCAGTCCTTCTCCAAAGTCTACAGTAAGCTTTATAGGATGCAAATCAAACCACTGACCTTAAAGATTTTTGTTTTTAATTATGTTTTAAAGAGAGCTGGTTTTCTATATACAGTATCAAGAAAGCCTGATCCAGGTACTGAATACTGATATCAGTATCTGCTAATGCCATCCAAGGGGGTAAACATGTAAGCTGTCAGCAAGAGGGGCAAAAGCAATACAGCCTCGTTCATGCGATGCAGGGGCAGCAGGGTGCAGCAAGGTGAGGTGTACCAGTGGCTAAACCAAAGCCAGAAAAGTGCATGTGTAGCTGCTGACTACATGTGGGCAAGGCTTCAAGAATATCTAAGTTGTAATAGAGAGCTAGTATTCTGTCTTTTAAGACTTTTTGTTGGGGTTTTCTTGAGTTTCTTTTTGTTTTGATTTTGGGTGGGGGTTTTTAATTAATGAAAGATTTCTGAATTGCCCGACAGATCTGCAGAATAGACAAAAAACTACATAGCTGTAAAGTACAGTGTCCCAGGACAGATGGTGTCCAAGTAAAAGTGTTGACATAACATTAACTCCTCCCTATCCTACCCTGTGATGCTTTATATCAGAACCACTTTGGAAAGATGGATTCGCTCAGGACTAGGAAGACGGAGTTTATGGACTTTTATCCCAATCTGCTTATATGCATGTTGCCCTGCAACAGGGGATATGTCTCAGAGCACACATCTTTTCAGACCTTCTTCTCATCCACCACCCAGGCTGATAGAAGCAGCCACCTTTCCCAAGGTAGTTTGAAAGCTAGGGGAGGATTCCTCCTCCTGAAAACAAAACTTTCAGTTCTCTGAAGTAAAAGAGCAGCCTGGTCCTTGGGAGAAAACACAAATCTACCTCCTCATCTTCCACACTTCTATTCACTACCCCACTGCCAGGAGACAAACACTCACAGTGCCCCAGGGACCAGACTGCAGTAACCTTCGGTAAATGTCTGCAAAGAGTAATTTTTTCACTGCAGAAGTGTCCCTTCTTCTGCGACAGGAAAGAAAACCAGATGAGAGCATAACATCACCTTGCCAGCAGCGGCTCCAGCCAGCCCTCATGGCATTCACAGTGGCAGTCCAGGAATGTCAGAATGTCTCCTTTCGCCACCGACGCCCCCAACAGCCGGGCTCGAACCAGTCCCTCTCGTTTATTTGCACGGATAAGACGCACCTTGCGTAAGCCAGCCACATAGTTTTCCAGAGACTCCTTTAAATGTTCTGTAACAAAGAAATGAAGAAAGAATATAGTTCTGGTTTATGTCATGCTACAGAAAGCTCTTTTTGTGATAGTGTATTACTTATAGCAGTGCCTTAAAGACACCTGCATTTGGAACTCTGATTCTGCTGTATTAAAAAAGAACAAGGAAAAGGCACAGAACTTGGATGGACACAAATCACAGTTACTTTCGAGAAACTGAATGCTTCATATTTGCCTCTGCAATTAGCTTCCAAACTGTTAAATGCCTCTCACATGTTACGTAAAACCTGTTCCACGTAAAAGTTTTATTCTTAACAGAATTCATCATGTGTAGTGGAAAACACTAGTGTTGTCTTTCTGTCACATAATTTAAGCGAAAACAGATAACCAGGTAGCTCTCACTATACTAAACACCAAGAAAATCCTGGAGCAATTGAAACTTGCTCGCTCAAATTAGGAAACCTGAAATGCTCTATACCAGACTGTAGGTTATCTATATATGCAAGCACTCATGTTACAACACAACAAACATGCTTCCCCATTCTATAACAAATTTGGTCCACAGGACAAATTTTTCACTGGCACACTACAAGAAAAAGTATTTTCCAATTAGATAGTTATGTTGTATAATGTTATGGTATGTTACCCAAACAGCATATCTTTTCCTCTTGTGGACTGGCTGACCAAAAAAGCCCATCAATCAACATTATTTAGACTTATTCTTCCTTACCTTTGTCACTGTAATCATCCACAAGGATAATTTCTTCCAAAAGTATATCTGGGGATGTCTCAAGAACACTATGAACAGTTCGCAGAAGTGTTGACCAAGCCTCATTATAAAAAGCTATCACAACAGAGGTTTTTGGCAGGCTGTAATAATCATACTTCTTCTCTCTGCACCTGTAAGGGAATGGATTACATTTAGTACAAGTGCAAAAGCATTTGTTAACTTCCAGAAAACTCCTCTCAAATGAAGATTCTGTATGCTATTTACTAACTGTAAGCAAGAACATATAAAGGATCTTAAAAGAACTCTATGCACATGGAAAAGTCATGCAAACACTTTCAGGAAGTTGGTATTCCAGCAGCCCCGTTTCTACAATGGCATTATGACTAAAATTCTGTAACCCCCCAAAGTGTCTAAACCCAAAATTAATAGGAGGTATTCTGAGCTGGTACCTGTGCAGTAGCTGTCTTTGTACAGTATCACCTTAAGTACAAGAACAAGCAATGCCCGAAACACAACTCAGATTACCAAAAGAAAAAAAAAAAACAAACCAACCCTAAGTGTCATAAAAACAGTAGCATAAATTATTGATAACTTGCGTTTTGGAAAATAAAACAAGTGTTAGACAGTAAAAATATAACTGTGAAGGAACAGCAACATATAAAGAGAAATAAATACCAGCAACAGAACTGAGACATAAGTATACTGAAGTAGAATTTGGTTAGACCACTGAACTGCCAAGATATAATAGTGAAATCTGCAAAAAACACAGACAGACATAGAAATGCATGTTCTGGCTCTATGGAGAGCCAGGAAGTTTGCAAACCTTCAGATTAAGCTCCAGAATGTATTTCCTATAAATATATACATTAACTTCCCTAAATGAACATAAGGATGCCAAGAAACTCACAGCTGAGCCAAATGTATAAATTTAGATTCCCCTGGTCTGAAAGAATTTTAAAATAATAATGGTATTTATTACCATTTCTCCCCTTGTCTTAGAGCATTCTGTCCGAGTAGTTTTGTTAACAACCAACAGAAATGGTTTAGAGATGTTTGAAATTTTTTATGCCTGGAGTCACACGGAGCCTTTTGTACGGGACAGAAGGACACACTTCAACTTCGGTAGACTGCTAGGTCACAATAGATACCGAAACAGGTCGGACATCCCTCCTACCAAAACAGAACAGCAGCAAGTCATCCAAAACCTATGCTACAAGGGAGCTGAAGAGGGAAACCATAACTGATCATCAGAAAATGTGACAGCAAAATCCTTTGGGTCAATTTAGGGGAACCAAAATTCCCCAAAACATCCAGAAAAAGACATTGAAAGAAAACTGCTTATCTATAGCACATTGAGAATATATTTACTATTTAATGCTGCTGTTTTGCAATAAAAGAAGACTTCTAGGTTTCTTTAAAGAGTAGGCAGTATCTATTAAGATCTGTGGTACAGAAAGGAAAAAAAAGGTCTGAATCTGAATATTTCTGAAATTAAAATTCTTATGAGGAAAAAAAAAAAAAGTCTGTAGAGTACATTTCTAATAAATACCTGAAAATGAAGAAGCAATGAGGGGAAATGACACTTGGGCAGAGGCAGCACATAGAATGCTGCTTCTCAAACATGACATGAGTGCTGTGCAACAACACTCATTGTATATGATGCATATGCATGCATACACACATACAGATATACACAGATAGGTACATACACATACACTTATACAGTGAAACACAAAAATGCCCTTTCCTCCAGGCTGTAACTTGTCCTGAAGTAAACAGGCATTCACACAGAGAACTGCCTCACAGCAGTGGCTGGTAAGTGATTTATTTTGCCAAATGTTTATGCATTAACACATGAAAAAGGAGTGACATTTTAATTAACTATTTTCTTAAAAAAAACCCACAGAAGAACTTACTGTATGAATCCAATTTTAGAAATACATATTTACATTAGCTTGTTGAAAAACATTTATGCTCAGTACTGCTAGGAAAAAATTCTTCTCTTATATATCAGTCACTTGTACCAGGTAATTTCAGTTTATTTCTTCATTGAAATGGGATCTTTACCTACCCATTTTAGAAAAATGAAAAAAAGAATAAATATAAAACCTCCAGGAAAGTTTTCTCTGGAAAATACGTCAGAACGATTCACAGAATAATAGTGTTATGTTACATTATTTTAAAAATTAAATCCAAAAGGTCTAAAGAAGCTTATAAGCCTAATTATAGATTAAAGACTTCAGTGGATTTGACTGAAAATTACATGCTGGAGACTGAAAACATAATTTGGCACAGAGCAAGGCAATCCCCAGACTGTTTGTGATTCACTGTGCATTGCTGCCTTCTGCGTTGAGCGTACCCTACTCTGTGGAAAAAGGTCAGCCTCCTACGGGACGTACCACAGTATACGTTTCTTAGGTTTCCGAAGTCAAGAAAAAGGCCCAAACTAAAAAGGGTGTTTTATTTACTAGATCTGTGGTGGAAGGCAGCATGCAAGTGCATACAAGTGACTCACCAGGGCGGCAGGGTGGCTGCCCCTTATCTTTCTGTGCTGAAAGAAATTTCAGAGAGTTTTGCTAAATCTTAAAAAATAATCCCATTGGGGAGTTAACAAACCCAAAACATTTAAACGCTGGAAAAATAATAGCTTAAGAACATCTTTTTCAAAAGAATGAATCCCTGAAATGGAATGCTCAGAAGCGTTGTTGAATAACAATTAAGTGACATGCATATGAACACTTAACATTACCACTTCACAAGTTATACAAGCTTCAACAAACCACTACAATTACAAAACCTGACTTAAAGGCTAGTGGTCATAACTCAGCTTTTCCATTTCCCAACTTCTATTTGCAACAGAATCACTTTAGCAGTGCATCTTCTGGATTCACCTTTGAAAACTTCAGGATGTATTTTTATTCTCCATGTGTCAGCCAAGTATCCAAGCTCCTACTTTCCAAGTGAATCATTTCACTCCTACTTTGGGTTATTCAGAAAAACAAATGCGTATCAGTTACAATATGTCATTAAAATGACAGGGAGGGTACAAACTAGTGACAGCAGTCCCAAAATACGTTTTTGCAGATACTGGAAATGTATATTTATATTGCCTATACTGCAAGCTGCTTTTGGCTTCTGACTAAAGCGCTCTTTAGTGCCACCCTCAAATGTGTAACACTGTCCTTTCCCAATATAGGGGATCACGTTAAGACAAGATTAACTGCACCTCACATTAGCCATCTAAAAGATAGGTGCTATCTTTGAGCTAACTGTCTGGACTCTGCATGTCCGTAAAGACAGATCCAGAAGGCAATTCACCGCACTCTCCTTAAGCCATTTATCTAGCACAAACAAACAACGGGCCCCCATCTTCCCCTTGTCTATAGAGCAGACACTTAACTTTTCTATGGCTGAAGTTAAAAACCAGAAAACTACCTACAGTCCCTACTATTGACTGCCTGATACATCACCTTGAACCCAGTCATCATAACTACCAAATGGTTTGTAAAAACGTAACACAGACACAAGAAAATATGTTGCCTGTATATGTGACATTTCCAAGCATGGACAATAAATGCAGAAGCACGTCATTTGAAGTCAAACCATTCTATGGTTCTGCGATATGAGTTGGAAGGGACCTTAAAGACCATCTAGTTCCAACCCCCCTGCCATGGGCAGGGACACCTTCCACTAGACCAGGTTGCTCAAAGCCCCGTCCAACCTGGCCTTGAACACTGCCAGGGAGAGGGCAACCACAACATCTCTGGGCAACCTGTGCCAGTATCTCACCACCCTCACAGGAAAGAGCTTCTTCCTTCTATCTAATCTAAATCTATCCTCTTTCAGTTTAAAACCATTACCCCCCTCCTATCACTATACTCCCTGGTAAAGAGTCCCTCCCCATCTTTTCCCTTTCTAGACGGGAGAGAGAATAATGCTGGTAGGTACCTGAACACAGATTTAAAATTATGTTCACTACACACCATCTTTTCTGGATCTTTCACTACAGCATCTACTCAAACATTTAACTCCACAAAATGGAAACTAAAGCAAAGCATGTAAAAGTGTATCATCATATATTCACATTCCTGTGGGTTTTTCATTTCACCTTTTTACATGGCATTTGCAAGTCACAGTCTAACCAAGACTATACAGCTGACCAGTTTAATAATTTAAAATAGAAATCTACTAAACTACAAAGTCTTCTCTTAACAAGTTTTACAATAGGTTATTTATTTGAAACTAAAGAGACATCAGTCAGGAAATGCCTAAACAAAATTAAATGGTCTATTTGGAGAACGTTTGTGTCAATTAATGTAATCACTCCATTTATTTCATTGTAAGGAGCTGTTACTCTTAAGAGATGCGTATCTGTACACAGGGAGAGAGAGCATGAATATGTGCACACTGGGCATGCTGCCATGAGTTAATTAGCAATGGTTGCTGACAAAATTTTAAGTAAGACTTTTACCACAACTGCAACAATGATACGGCAAGGGAAAATACATTTTACATCTCCAAATTCAATGTTCTGTATGCACAGTTATCCGTATTTTCAGAAAAAAATATGAGATGTTCTATGAGTTTTCAAAGATTTGTTAAGAATACAATGTCTGTAAATTATTTAATGCTTTCTAAAGGCATACTACATAAGTTTTGCTTTTGAAGTTCCAATGTTGAATGCCCAAGAATACAGGCAAGTTCAAGATTGCATAGCTTCTCTCAAGAAGTTCAAAACAGCACATGTCACTGCTGTATCTGATTTAACATGATTTATGTGACTATGGTACATGACATTGCCATATATGCACCACCATACTGTCACCTAGCAAACACTGTTAGGGTCCTACTTCAGGCTGGGTTTCACACAGTGGGCTAGGAACCAGGCTTGCTGGGTTGGTTATGGTGGGCTGTGGACACACCAACTCACAAAACAACCTCCTTTTCTCTTCCTAATTTGAACTGAGTTAAGACATCGAATTAAACAGCAGACACCCTTTTAGTATGGAATGTGCTCAAATGTGGCGTTTTGTAGGCTATAAGTAAATACGGCCGATCTGGACGAATGGCAGCAGCCATGGGTGTCTCAATCTAGTTTTACCTTCTCCACTCCCACCCCACAAATGGCAGAGGCATCAATGTGGACTCAGGAGTCTGCCAGGTACCTTCA